CGAATGTGTGCCCCAGGCGCGTACCGCGCTCCGATTCGGCACTGGTGTGGCCAGAATCGGCATCAATTTGGGGTAGTTTTTGCGGCGAGTTGTTTGTTTCTAGAGGTGTTTAAAGGGCGCATTTCGGGGCGGTGGATGGATGGTGTGGAGATTCTACTGCCAGCAAAGGTGGATTTTGGAAAGATTCTGATTTCGTCGGCAACTAAGGTAGTGAGCAGAGGAAGTGCTGGTGGTGGAGGTGGGGAGGTTTTAAGGCGCTGTGCAAATGCGTATCGCCGGAACAGCGGTAATAATCTCTTAATTGTGCCCTTTTTGTCTAGGTCGTGCAGTGTGCTGGCTGAATTTTGTTAATATGATGGGAAATTTGGTATTTTTTGAGTTACTAGAACTGGAGTTTTGGGAATCATTTTGAGTTCTACTTGTTCTGTTTTTGGCACATTTTTGTGTGAATATTCATTGCTGTTGTGATATTGGAGTGGCGTTGTTGTAGTGGTTTGTTGGGTTAGTAGGTAATAATTTCATCTTTCTTAGCCTTCCAGAGCAGATAATGATTAGCACTCATGATTTTGCCACTAGAATGATTGACTTGCTATGGAATACTTTTGCTATACCTTTCTTTTGTTCAGATGATCTTAATTGGCTTGAGTGTGAGCCTTCTCCTCAAAGAACCTTATGCTTGAGATTTTTTGTTGCTAGATCTTAATTGGCTTGTGTGCGCTAGTATTAAAAATTTATATGCCTCAAAGATCAGAGCAAATCACCAACTTCTGCGTATATAATTTTTTGATATTAAAAAATGTAAGCGCTTTTTATTCTTTAGATTGTGAATGGTGGCAGCAGTTATATTGTATGTTTCGTAGAGTAATGGTTTTTTTTACCTCTGCTATCATACTTCTCGTTATAGGTTGATTGATTTAGTTTCATGGACTTCCTTGTTGGGCAGTGAACTGAATCAACTGTTTTGGTGATAGCATCAACTGCTTTATGTTATGATCTACAAAAAATTGTTGCAACAGCCCTATTCCAATGGTTATGCCCAATAGTATGCAAAAAGAAAAAACGTCCATTGTTACTCCCCGCTGACGTGTGGGCTGTTTTCTAGCAACTTGTGATCCCGCAATATGTCACACAACCGAAATAACACATTTCTTTCAAACCTTAACATGTTTTACCACATCACATCGAATTGCCATATTTTTTGGTTTAGATAATCAAATCTGATCCACGATCTCTTTCATTCATTGGGCCATAGGTAATACATGGTCTCCTCTTCCTTATTATAGCCCAGACAATGACTGCCATTGCAGCAAGTGCAACAAAAACAGTGGCTCCCCTAATCATCATTTTTCTTTTGTTCATCTTCTTGACCATCTACAATTCATGCATGATATCAGAAATATTTCTACCAGTGACTTGTGAGTTGTGACAGCAGAATATATTGCAAAGATATATTGTAAAACAGCACTTTGAGTATAAAATAGGAAAATCGCCCACTAGTTTGAACAGCATAGAGCAAGGAACTCGAATCAAACAAACGCCACGAGTGTCGCCTCAATATCCTCTCCATCTCCCTCTCGTCTGGGTAAGGCAGATGAGACAAGTTCCAAGATCTAGAGAGGGGCAAGCCGCGAGATACAAGGGGGGAGGAGGGGACGTTCTCACCTTCAGGGCCGCCGCCGGAGTAGCCCCTCGCTCGCCGCCCAGCTTCAAGACCGCCGCCGCGCAGCCGATTGAGGAGGAGACGAGGGAGAGGAGCATCCGGCGGCGTGGATGGGAGGAGAGGAGCAGCCGGCGGCGAGGATGAAGGGGGGGAGCAGCCGGCGGCGAGGATGAAGGAGAGGAGCAGCCGGGGGCGCGGATCCAGGGGGAGGAGCAGCAGCCGCCACCGATAGGGTTTGTGCGAGAGAGGGAGACGCGAGAGGGTTCGTGCGAGAGGGAGGGGGTGAGCGCCAGGCAGCGTTCCCCGTCGTTCACGGATTTGGAGGAAGAGAGAATAGCACTAGTCAAAACCGGGAGTGCCAAAATATCGCTAGTACAAACCGAAACGCCAAAATGGCACTGCAATCTCGGCTTTGTTGTCAGAATACCACTCCCGTCGAATGCCAGATGTTT